ACATGGTACCCCTTCCAACCCTCTTCTTGATCTCAACCTTGAGGAGCTTGCACACATGGCAAAATTACCAAAGCTCCAGTGCAGCATGGCTTTCATTCAAGCAATCAGAAATACATCACTCAATGATAACATTGGGCTAATGGGCAAAGCCCACAAATGTCTCTGCAACCCACCCAAAGAACCTCTCCATGTTGACAACTGATATACAGACCTTGCTCTTTCAATGTTCCTCACACTTGAGTGTTCTTCAGAAAGCACATATGAAAAGATTCAGAAGGCTGTTGAGAAGTGTTTCCCAGATGCCAGGATTCTGTCCTTTCATCAATCAAAGCATATCCTCACCAATCTCAGTGGAGTCACATCAGTGGTCAACCACATGTGCATTAACTCTTGTGCAGCATTCATGGGACCTCTCTCTGATCTCAAGGCCTTGCCCAGAGTGTGCAGAGCCACACTATGATCAAGTGAAACTCAATAGAAGCAATGGAAAAATTAAACACCCTTGTGCTGTGTTTCACACTATTCCCTTTGCCCCACAGCTTCAATCACTTTGGCAACATCCTGAGACTGCAGAGAAGATGCTCTACTGCAATAAACAGACACAACAAATCTTTCAGGAGCTCCAGAGAAACAATGGGTTAGTTAACACCTATGATGACATTTTCTGTGGCCATGCCTACCTGCATGCTGTGACCCAAAGCAAGGTCTGGCGAGATGATATCCTCCTTATGATGTCGATTGATGGTGCACAACTATAGGAAAGTAAAGAGTCTGACTGCTGGATATTCATTTGGATCATCCTTGACCTATCTCCAGACCATCACTATAAAAAAAAGCACATCCTACCTGGCACAATCATACCTGGTCCAAAAAAGCCAAAAATTATCAACTCCTTCCTCTTTCCTGGGTTGCATCATCTCTCTGCAGTACAGCATAAGGGCCTTCATGTCTGGGATGCTTCCTGTGATTGCAAGTGCTGATAGACCCAGACTATTAACATTAAGCAACTTTGTCGGCCACCAGGGCAAAAATGGCTGCCATATGCTGTGTTCTTTGAAAGGGTGTCATAAACCTGCTGCATCTCAGTACTACCCTGTCCTACTGAAGCCAGATAACTACAATGTGATTGGATGTGACCATCCTGACATTGATACTCACAATATTGGGCCAGGAAGTTCTGAGAGGTGTATTAAGCAATTGAAATATCTTTTCAGCTCACACACACAGAGTATGTACGAGGGATGGCACCTCGAGACTGGCATTGTGGGCCCAAGTATCTTGCTTGGCCTCCAGCCAGAGCTCATTCAAGGTATTCCGGAGGTCTTTTCATCTGAATTGATGCATTTGAGTGGTGCAAACATGGCTGCACTCTGGCTCGATCTCTGGCATGGTACCTTTGACTGTGCTGCAAGTGACAATCAAAGCACCTGGACTTGGGCCATTTTCAAGAACAATGTGACATGGGAAGCCCATGGATGTGCCATTGCTGCATGCAAAACCTATCTACCTGGTTCATTTGACATTGCACCTCATGATCCAAGTCTACACTCGAACTCCTGGTACAAGGCAGCTGAATATATCACCTGGATATATGGTTTGTGCCTGGCCCTACTCTATGGTATATTGCCCAAAATTCCTTGGAGAAACTTCTGTAAATTTGTTGCTGGACTTCACATCATGTCCCAATACAGTATCACCCCTGTGCAACTACAGCTTGCCTGTCAACTCCTCAATGAATGGGAACCTGAGTTTGAACACATATTTTATCAGTGGCGCATTGACCACATACCATTTATCCACCCATGTGTCCACCTCACATGTCATCTCACTTCAGAGGCTGCACATATTAGGTCTCTGATTTGTTCCTCTCAGTGGACCATGGAGAGAATGATTGGGAATCTTGGGGAAGAGATATGCCAGCCATCAGACCCTTTTTCAAATCTTGCACAGCAAGGGATCCAGCATTGTCAAGTGAATGCACTGAAGGCTATGCTTCCACACCTTGATCCCCCTAAGAACACCAATCCACATGCATCTGTTGACCTTCACAATGGGTACATCCTTCTGGCCAAACATGACAGATATCTCACCACTGTTTGAGGTGAAGAGGCAAGAGTGATTGCAGAATACCTTGGAGTACTGCTTGCACCCAAAATACACCATTGGGCACATCTTCACTTGCCCAATGGTCAGATTGCACAGTCTGAATACCAAGAGCTGCAGAAGGCACCTGAGGACATCTTCACTTGCCCAATGGTCAGATTGCACAGTCTGAATACCAAGAGCTGCAGAAGGCACCTGAGGACATCCACATGGCTCGAAATGTGAAAGTATGTCAATTCTTTCAGTTACCTTTCATGCAAAAGTATGCTTAAGGTACAACAAGAATGGTATTCAAAGTGCACTAAGCTGACAACTAAGCCAGCAAATTTTGCTTGCTAAACCCTACTAAACTTTTCCTAAGATTTTCACCATGTAGATAATTCAAGCAGAGTTTTAAAGCATGCCTCCCCTCTGCCCAAACCTTCAACATTCTGCTCACCTACAGGTCAAGTCTGTAACTATCATGGCCAGGGCCTCTTCTGTTGCTAGTACAAGAAATCCTCTCCCCTGTCCATCCCCCAACCCTCCCCCAATGCTGCATCATCCAAGCCCAAGCCGAGGGCTTCTGGGGGTGAAACTATTTACTGGGAGAGGTATACACACATTACCAGAGAGCTACTGACTTGGCTATGGGAAAATCCAGCAGATCATGCCTGTCCTATTCAACAAGAGGAGAGATCAGAGTGCCTGGGGAATGCAAGGCTCCATGCCTATTGCAAAAGAGAGATTAATGCTGTTATTGCTCAAGTGATCTTCTCTAAAGATCTTGTATATGGGGCAGTTTATGCGACCCAGACTGAGAGGTTTGCTTCAGCGGTTGGTAGCTGCCTGGCAAGGTATGTCTTATCACATTGTTCCAAGAGATTAATCAAAATCCTTGTTACAGCTTGAAGGCCAAATATCAGCAACAAGCATCAAGGTTTAAGTCCACAAGTGAAGGCATTGATCCTAACAATCCAGCTTATTCCAACCTTCTGGGTATGTACCATGGTCCTCCTCTGTACACCATGTGGCTGATCTCACACATGGTTTTTATTTTAGAGGAAGTTTTTGCAGGGTTCCCATTCTGGGAGGAATGCAATTGCATGTGGCATGGGAACCCTACTTATGATGCAAGATTATTCAATCCAGCTCCTGGCACAAACCAGACAGGCAACTTTCTTTCCATTGTGAATCAGGGTGGTACTACTGTGACTGCAACTCCTAGTGGCTCTACTGCAACCACAACTGTGACTCCTACAGTTGCTGATATGCAAGTCCAACAACTGACCAACCAGAACAATACAATGGCAGGGGTCAATCTGGAGGTTGAACCTTTTGGGAGTTTTACACTAATAAACCCTCAGGGTACTTCTGGACCTTTCACAGGTGAGGGCACAGGTATCAATGACTTTTCTATGGGTGGGATGGAGCAGGGGGAGGATGAGGATGAAGAGGGGGAGGTATGCAAGGGAAGGGGGCCTGGGGAATGCCCTTAGTTCATGTCAGTTAATTCTGAACTAATGTTCAATGATGGTGCAGTGAATGACACCCACTGCATGAGTTGCTATAAAACTCCTCACTCATGTTACTAATGGGAACCTTAGCCTGTTGATTCTACCCATACAATATTGCCATTCAACAAGCCTGGCTGTCAAACACTGTCATGGGACAACCATTTGGCATTCTGGATGTCTCCATATGCCAGATCCCCCCCCTCTGTTATCTCTACATCTACAACAACCTCTGCTGTCAGTGATGGTGCTAGCTGGCACCAGGTGGCATGCTCTGAGTGTTGGAACATAAAGTAGCATCAACAATATCATGATCAAGGACTTTGCAAATGGGTTGCACAGCTTTCTCCTTGACTGGGAATTTGCTGTATGGGTCACATTAGAGGGGGAATATGACTTGGGTGGCACAGTAAGTACTATGCAAAACATTTTGGAACTCTCAGCTGATAGTATGCAAAGGGGACAGTCCCCTTCCTTTCAGTGAATATCCTTTGCCAACTCAAGGAAGCCATCACTAAAAGTGGAAAGACTAATGTCCCATCAATCTGGAAAAGTGCCTCTCTCGCCTGTGTATTCATCAATCACCCTACTACTATACACCATACATTTGCAGATGATATCAAATCCCTGTTCTATGTTTTCATCTGGATCCTCATCCTTTATGATGGGCCACTTGGCCATGAGCATCAAGATATCAGCCATGAAAAGACACTTCTTGGCTTGTGGAGTGAAAAGGCAGCCAAAGATCTCAAAATTGCCAGATGTGCCAAGTTCACATTCCTTAATGACCTGTCCAAATCAAGGCTGGATTCTGAGGTCTCACAATATTTTCAAGATCTAATCCCTCTGGCTAATGAGTGGTGTGTATTGCTTGGGTGGTCCCTGCTGAGTGGAACTGCAGTGCAGTTCTCCAACATTATCTCCTTTTTTGATCATTTCTTGGCCAGCATGCCATATGAGAAACCACTGGAGATGATGAATGCATTCCAGCAGATCATCACCCAGCACAAAGTGCTTAATTCAAGCATGCATCTGAGTCAGGAGAACAATATGGATGTTATGTCTTTGGCAATTATGTCTTCTAAATGCTGTTGTGGAGAGGTAAGGAGCATGGATAACCCTCCTATACCCAATAAACACTTCAAAGGCATGTAGTCTTAGCATGAATTTTATGTTTAGTTCATGTTCTGTACATTATGTGTAAAGTGTTTCAATTCATTTGCAGCAGGTAACTGTCTCTGCACATCATTTCATTTTATGTCTCACAATGAACCTGTCAATGTTTATATGGATTCACAAGATGTCATTTCATCATGGTCCCCAGGCTTCCATCTTATACTGTTCTCTGCTTAACTGCTTGTACCTTCAGATGTTCACCCAATCTGGAACAATCCCACCAAAAAAGAAGGATAGCAAAAATGCCAAATGATGACCAGAGGCCAATGGAAGTACTCGACCCACAAAAAACAAGCATCTAGGAAGCCCACCCATCAATCTCAAAGAGTCTCAGTCTGTTGCCACAGCAGGACTGTGTCATAGCAGAAGGGCAGGGGTGGGTTCAGGTGGAAGGGCTGAGCAATTGGAGTGGATTGGTACTGCCCTTGAAGGCCAAGCTACACAGCCGTGAAAGTCAACAGATCTCCCCAATAATTCTGTTGTAAATCCTCTTGCACCTCTGCCCACTTGGCAGAAAAAGGGTGGGGGCCACAGTGCTGGCCAGAATGCAAAACCAAAGGTCAGTTCTAGTTATTTGCAAATATCAAGCTAACCACTTGCAAAGTCCAATGTCACCCCACCACCCTATGCACCTCCCATTGTGAATGGTCCTAGCCGAGCTGATATGCCTCCAGTGAGTGTCTTTTCATACTGATATACAATGTTCATTTCAGAATCCTGTCCCTCAGTCTTCAACAGCAGTAGCAACACCTGTCTTCCATCAGCACCCCACAGACTCCCATTGCTTTGGTTTTAGTGTTCCAGCTCAACAGCCAGGTCATATTGTGCCTCCCAGGATGGAACCTGACCTTCAAGTGCTCAATAATCCTTATATTGCCACAATTTGGGGAGACCAAGTTCCCAGTAATACATCTCATCTGCCAACACCCCAGTCTCGGTTTATCCCCCACCAGCCACCTGCTACTGTCCCTGACTCTTGTATCAACCCCTCCCTTGATAGCTCACTCTCATCAAGACAAACTTTGGCAACTGCTGATGTTCACCACAAGAGTTCAGGAGAAGCTGTCATCAGAGGGCTCCTCAGAAGAGGAGTCAGAGTCCTCAAGTAATAACCCATTGGATGCAGAGGCTGGTGAGGTCTCCAGTGATGAGTCCAACAAAGATGAGGACAATGCATTTGGATGGGGTGCAATGAATCTTAGGCAATCAACTCATCCTGGTATGTGTCAGAGGTTATTATGGTACTGGCTCAACATTCTTTGTTAGGCTTCTCCCAAGAAACAATGACAAGCAATCCTATTTGCCACAATTCCTTACCCCCTGACCATGAGTTTCAGTACTCATGCAATGAGGATGACAATGCAGCTCTGTGAAGCTTACAATCCAAGGACAAGGCTCAGCCAGAGGTACGAAAAATGCCATTCCTGCTAGCTTTATTTATTCAAATTGTTATTTTAGGGTTCCCAACATGGCACCATCATCAACATTCTTGAACACCACCATCACACTAATGGCCATCCTTCTGTTCCCAATCATGATCTTCTGACCCTTGCACATGACTCAGTCAACAAAGTATCTCAACATGCCAGAGCCCCTTGTAACTCCAAGAAAGTCAAGGATGAGGGCCCATTGCCTTCACAACTGAGATTTTACAAGGCAGTATGGAAGGACTGTCTTGAAGATGCTAAGCAAGAATGCAGGGCTGCACATGCACTTTCTAACCTGTTCCCATTGAAATCTCATGACCTCAACCTCTCCATAACAGAGGTGCTCATCACTGTCATCATTGAGTGGAATCAACATGGTGTGCAATTTGAAGATGGTGAGTAACAATATTTTCACTTTATATGTGTCTCATTATCCTAACTTTATAGGTTACTGGCCTGACCACAAGCAAGATATGGCATGCCTCATAAGTAGTCCTGTCTTTCAGTTACAGCTACTGAAATACTGCTGGTAGCTCCTTGGTGATATATCTACCTGGCATTCAGAATTGAAGTCAGTTACACTGGCAACCACACCATCTGTGTTCAACCTTATCTGTCCTTCTGATGTTGCACCACAGGTTTGTGTGCAATGGATAGAGACTGCTGCCACAAAGCTCCTTGACAACTTGCTTTTCCTGTGAGACAGTTTCAATGAGAATGTACATTCATGTGGTTTTTTGTCTGCACTACTAATGGATTGGTTTATCAGGGAAAAACCAGGAATTTTGCTCACCCTGCCCTCAAGGAAGCTGTCATACAATTCTACTATACCAGGACCTATCAAATTGTGGATAAGCATCCTGAGTCCTTCAACAATTCAGTTCCCCTTTCCTGTCTGGCTCTTGTTGCAGCTGTGGTGAGTTATTTTACACCCTGAGTCACTGCAACTCAAACTTTTCTTGCAGTATCATTGTGTGTTGGACAGATTTGCGAAGAACAGCACAGGAAAGATGATGCCTCAATTCTCTGGCAAGGCTTACAATCTGAACAACATCCTTTGTAATCCCTATCATGGCATGAGGTTGTGCAATCAGCTTTCTCAGTGGGTGAAGGAAGGATGGTAAGTACTGGGGTGGCTGACATGCTTGCACTGACTCCTTGTATCAGGGCTGCACTGCAAGAGGTTGATTTGAATGTAGAGAGGTACCAGCACATTCAGGCAGTCCTTGATTGATTTCATAATACCTAGTCCTGTTGTACCTGTCATTACATGTAGTATGCAATTGATGCCAATGCTCCTGTTCCTGTCATACCTGCTGTGAACTGTTCCTAGTTGTGGAGTGATCACATGTTTGCAAAGTAAACATTGAGATGGGGAGTACTGGACAACACCCCAAGGAGAATACAGTCTGGCCAGTTTTGTACAGTGATATCTAAGCATGAAAGTTCCATAGCAATCCATAGGAAGTAAGATGCTGGACAAAGTTCCATGACAGTGTGACCATTCCATAGTAACAGGCAACTAGCCATAGCAAAAAGTGTTGTTGGGTGCATCTGTCCAGCCTGGACCTAGCTAGGGGACTCTGTGATTTACTGATGAGTGATCGCCATGATGTCAAGAAGTTCCAGTATTTCTATGTGGAGGGATGCCCTTGGCATCTTGATGGATGGGTGGACAACCTGATCTATCACTTGTTCCATTTTTTACACTACCACATGTATACTATGCTTTGAAGCACTTGTATGATAATTTTGGACTTAGAAAACTTGGACATTGGATATCTAGAAAGAGAATGTGCTGATTTGGAGCTTGAACTCCCTCTTGGCCACACAAAGTTTAGTAGGGTTTAGCATGCAAAAATTGCCAGCTTAGTTGTCAGCTTAGTCAGCTTAGTGCACTTTGAATACCATTAAGGTCACTCTTAATGGTAACAATCAGATTGCAGAGGTTATGTACTTCATAAGGCTTGTTGTTCAAGCAGTCAACAGCACTCTTCTTCCAGATGAAGACCTTGACAATGCACTGGACCCATGTTTCCAGTTTCATGATGTTGCACTCATCACACTATATTCCAACCCTCACTCATACTTGCTGGAGAGGTCTTTCAGCATCATTGCATCCTGTATAAAGCTTGGACAAGCCAGCTTGCAGGTGATCAACATTTCAGACATTTGATCAGTTGTTGCAATGATTCCACATCACCCTATGATACATGGAGTAGTGGAGGAGAGGTATTTCTTAGTTGAGAAGACTGGCATGGAGGTTGCATGATTTGGTTCCAAAGATGACAATGAGTAGTGTTTTGTACACTTAGCATTTACCAACATGAAAACTTGCATTTCAAACAGAACTGATAATGATACATGCTCAGACAATTATAAAAAGTACACGTTCAAGCACTGTTTTGAGTCTGTATGTCCATTGGATTGAAACTTGTCACCTGTGCACAACAAACCTCAACACATTCACTGTGCAACCCCATCTGAGTGCTCAGAGCTGCAACCAGTATCCTCCACAGCCTTCACTGCTTCTGGCCATGTCATAAACCCTTCATACAATGTAATTGAGGAATCAGATTCAATTGTGCAGAACCCATGTCACCTAACAGGAGGCCAGGGTGCATCAAACCCACTCTTGCACTTTGTAGGAATTATATCCTTAGGAAGTCCAGCAAGAGCAACTGGAATTGCATGAACAGCCTTTGTAGGCTGGGTATCCTTGCCAAAGGACAGGTTGGTATCTTTGCCAGGGGGCAGGTTGGCATTATTGCTGGAAAGTGGCTTGGTATCTTCACCAGAAGATGCCTCATCTTTGTTGGAGTCATCACCATCATTGGAAGACTCCTCATGTTTGTATTGTACAGTTGGGCCATCAGGGCTGCAAAGATGAGATAAAGCATACATGGATCATAAAACTTACTGCTCCATGTATACCATCACCTGTGCATCACTATTAGTGGTCAATGTCCCTGCTTTGATCAAAAAAACTGCATATATGCACAACATGTGATGTACTATATTCCCTTGCACAAGCTCCAGATTTGCTGTCATCATCATCTGAATCAACAGTGACATGCTCATACTTAGATGGGTTTTTCAGATGAAGAATAATTTTCTGTAAAACATGGGTCAAGCAATGAGTAAAAGAAGGTATTGATAAACTTACATGAGGGCAAGTGTCTTCTGGTGTAAAATTAATGACATACACTGGCCAACCTTGTAAGATATTGTCAACCTCAAGGACAATAATGTTCTCCAGTATGGTGATGGCAGTGTGGTGTGCTTCGGTTGACATCTACACAGTACTTGAAGGTAGTGGTAGGTCCAAGTATGCATATGTGTTGGGACTTGGTGAAATCAAAGTGTTGGGTAACAAACAGTGCCAAACACCTTCCTCCCCCTCTGCCCATCATGCCACCCACACCCCTGTCCTTTTCAAGCCTGTCAGGTGACCAGAACTCCTCCATTTTCTCTTCTAAATCGCTGCAAGACTCATTTATTACCCAAGGCAACAATTTTTTCCCCAGCAATAACAGCCAAATTTCGACATTAATGCATAATACCTCCGCTTCACCATGGAGCAGTAATCCACAGATATCCCAAACACCATACCAAAAGTACTTCAAATGTGTTTCACTGACTACTTTGATCCTATTTATTATAGATGCAGTTCATTAATTCCACCATTTTCAACCAAGGCATTCCAGATATCTCAGTAAGTCTGCAGCATTTATGTCATGATGCATCCTAGTTTTTAATGCATATATGCAGCATGTGCAGTAGTTACAGCACCTCCAAGAGAATATAATGAAGCTTCAACTCGAAAATACATTGCTCAAAGCAGAATTCCATTGCAGAAGCACATATAATACTCTGGTTTCTCAGCTAGCCATAAACAGATCAGATGCAAGCACTCCAGCAGATGGTCCTGTCAACATCATGCTGCAATCAGCATCCATCATTCCTACATCACTTCTAAAGGGAGACTTTCTCCTGCAGCTCAACTGAGCTGATTACCCCAGCATGTGTTTCTGGACTGAGAAAGAATGGAAGATGTGGTCTGGCATGACTCCAGAAGGACAATGTGCTAACCCATATACATCATACCTGGAGGATGACAAAGGGGTGGCACTTAATGCCAAGAAGATAGGTAATATTCTCCAGACAGCACAGGAGATCTGGCATGAGTTTCACACCCATGGGCTCATCAGCAATGACACAACCCAGTCATTGATGTCTCTGATGGTGAAGAAGGCCTTCTGTTCAGAAATCATACAAATGCATCCAGATCTCAACCTATGTGAAGATGTGTGGAAGATTGTTATGATGAGTGGCAGGTAAGTGCAGCATGTATGATATCTTACTAGCTGACTAACTAGCACTTCCACAAGGACACTTTGCATGCACCATTATCAGAGGCAAATCAGAGGTACACAGGAGGAATTCAATGCATACTTCAAGGTGTTGTCTCCTGAGGCAAAGGATGCAAGTCATCTATTTCTATCAAGTATGTTATCAACAACCCCATGTAGTCCATTTAGTCACAATGTATAGGTAGCCTGTGTGCCAAAATGCCAACACTTATATAGACCCCACAATGGGCCTATCTAAATAGATTAGCCATGACACATGGACAGGCCTGAGGGCCTATAGTGAGAGCAACATATGTATGGGCCTGTAAGCACAATTCCACAACATATGGGAAGGCCTGTGGAGGGTAAGGATGCTGCAACATATAGACAGGCCCATGACCAAGTAAGTATGCTGAGCTACTGTAAGACATGGATGGGCCTGTCCATGGTAGGGTGTACCCCAGTCACAATATCAGGATGGGCCCACCTATTGTATCATGAAGAAGGTCACAACATATGGATGGGCCTGCCCATCATATGCTTTATAGGGTCACAACATAAAGAGGGGCCCCTCTATGATAGATTACAGAGTTGGCAACATATGGAAGGGCCTGTCTTTGGGATAATATACCCCTGTCACAACATATAGATGGGCCCATCCATGGCAAGATGTATGCCTGTTGCAACATAAGGATGGGCCTGTCAGTAATATCATTGACAGCATCACAACACATAGACAGGCCCATCTAGTAAGATGCATCCCTGCCACAACATAAAGATGGGCCCATCAGTAATGTCATTTATAGCATCATGACATATGGATGGGCCCTTCCGTAATACCATTTATACCATCACAACACATGGGCAGGCCCATCCATAGTAAGATGTACCTGTCACAACATAAAGACAGGCCCTTCAATATATATCATTTACAGGGTCACAACACATGGACAGGCCCATCTAGTAAGATGCACCCATGTCACAACATAAAGACAGGCCAGTCAGTATTATCAATTACATTGTCACAACAGATGGATGGGCCCATCTAGTAAGATATGCCCCTGTTGCAACATAAGACTGCCCTGTCAGTAATATCAATTACATGGTCACAACACATGGATGGGCTCGTCAATAGCAACATGTATGCCTGTCACAACATGAAGACAGGCCTGTCAGTAATATCATTTACAGTGTCACAACACATAGATGGGCCCATCTAGTAAGATGCACCTCTGTCACAACATAAAGATGGGCCCATCAGTAATATCATTTATAGCATCACAACATGTGGAAGGGCCCTTCAGCAGTATCATTTATGTGGTCACAACATAAGGATGGGCCCTTCAGCAGTATTATTTATATGGTCATAACATATGGACAGGCCCTTCAGTAATATCTTTTATATCACCATAAAACAAGGATGGGTCTGTCTAGTAAGATCCACCCCTGTTGCAACATAAGACAGGCCCAACACCAATTGCATGTATAGCATCACAACATATTGATTGGATCACAGCAAAATATTGAGGCAAGTGTCCCAACATGCCATAATTTTCCAACAAGCTGCAAGCAGCTCACCCACTATACAACTCCAACCTCATCCACCCCAAGCATGAATACTATGCAAGACATGTCTAAAACCCCCCATGGATGGCAAATGGAACTAACAGACTGCATTGCATCATACATGAAAGCCAGATTTCAAGAGGAGGTATTCAGCAGACCTCACACCCTTCCAGATATATTGATTCTGTTTCTGGTGTTATGTGAAGCAGATCACATATCATCAGTAAGCTCACAGGCCTATCATCACCCAAGTAAGTCTATCATAATGGTGTGATGGAAGTTTTCATCTTTCTGCAGTCAATGTCAGGAAAAATCAGGGTGGAAAAACCTGCAATGCAGAAGCTGCTGAGAGATGTGGAAGTGACTGAGCTGGCCATTCTGGTGACCAACTCAAACACCATCCACATTTGGTATTTGCCAGATGCTCTCAGCCCAAAAAGAAGGGTAAGGGAATGCAGAATCTCATATTCTACTGACTTAATGCAATGGCAGGCCAATGTATGGAACCACCTGTCATCTTCTGAGGGAACCACTGCAGGACAGCATAAAGGCTTCCCCACAGGCATGGCAGACAGACAAGTCATATTTCCATGATAATGCTGAGTTGAAAGGTGCCATCAACCTGTCACCTGCATGGTTTCAACAGGGTCATGGGGTGGGTGATCATTTCTTTCCTTGTGAATAAAGCACTCATCTGTCTTGAAGCCCCAAAATGGCTTCCTGGAAGCCTCATGGCTGCTCAAATCCAGGACAGAAAACACTTCTACAAGGGAATGGGTCAACCAAATGTCCAACACCAATGCCCTGTTATCTGTGATCCTGCATGTCTTCCATCTGCAAATGTATGCAGATGGCAGGGAAGCATTGATCTGCCTTGGCAAACAGGTGGAACAGCAGGTGGATTTGGACATGAGCTCCATGTATAGCAGCATGTCCATGATGGTGAATCAGGCAACTTGTTACCACAGGGATATCAATGGATGGGATCCATGGTATGACATGCTGGTAACTGTGGGCAACTACCCACCCTTGGACTTTGTCATTCCAACATTGAATCTGCAGCTGCACTACAACCCAGGGATGATCATTGCATTTTCAGGTTCAGCATTGGAGCATGGGGTGGGAGCTGTAGACAGTGACAGAGCATGCCTGGTGCATACTACATGTGTGCCAATGTACATCAGTCAGTGCATGTTCCCATGTGTCAATCACCACAGATGGATGACCTACTACCTAGAGCAGTTGCAACTGGAGAACTGTTGATTTGAAGCTGCAAAATTTAATGTAAGATTTAGTAGGTGATGTGGATCTTGTATTTTATTAGGATATGCTGGCTCTCGAACTTCAGACAGGTGGTGTTGCCAAGATTTTGCAAATGGGCAGGTGCTTCAACATCATAGATTGGGTGGGTACTCAGAACTAAAGGGTGTGCATCATAAACTGCAAAAAAAGTAAACCTACTCAGGCCATCATGCAGATGGGCAGATTGTCAGACATCACATGGATGGGTGGGGGTTCAGACATCATGCAAATGGGCAGTATCTCATAAATGATCAACATTCACAGCAATGTATATACAACCAACTCCACAGTCAAAAACATGTAAACTATTGAAGCAGCATGCCCAACAACCCACACAATGCCCACCACATAGTGTAGAAATGGTCAATTTGTTGACCCCAACTGTTGACAACATTAGCATATTTCTGAATATTTTCGATGCAGTAGTTTACCTGCTCCTTGATATGGCCATCAAGATAGTCTGTGATTGGCACCTCAGGCAATGGCCATAAGCCCTGGGCCATCATCAACTATTTGCAGTGACAAGAATAAGTGGCATACCTTAAAAAAATCCCAGGTTGTGGAAAACAATCCCTTGCCTTGCAATCTTTGGGAATCCACTGTGTATTCCTTGGAACAATATAGCCACCAAGGGAATGCAAAGCCGGAATGGGGATCAGCTGCGTGTGGGGTCCAATGTGGGATGATGGTGCTGATATTTTCGATTATGCAAAATGTGCTAAGGGGAATTAGCTGCATTTGATTGTGGAAGCTAACCTCATCATCTTGGTGTCTGAGGTATGCATGGTAGCATGCTGGGAGGGGAGGAGTATAACTGGCATGCAACTCTGTCACCAGAATCAAGCTATTAAGCTGATTCTGAAGGAATTATGTATCAGTCCCACATTGTGAAAAATTGATGTAAAAGCTACCAAATCCATTGCTAGGTTTCCAAACCAATGCATGGGCCATCCTGCAATATCAGCAGTCTGCTTCAGATGTACAGAGGCCACCTTGATCCAGCATGCCAAGTAGAGGATACCCATCTCTACCACATACTGGTGAGATGGGTGTGATTGGCTGGCAATGAATGGCTCAGGACAATTTTCAAAGGCAGAACACAGATAATGAACAACTTCCATCAAATCAAGCATATTGATGAGTCAAAGGCCCTGAGAGGCTGCACCATACTGGTCCCTTGCAGCTGTGCCCAATTCTCTCACAATGGCATTTCAGCCTGCACAAGGTGCCTATCAAGGGTGGGATCAAACAGCATGTTCACTGGGAGTGGTGTTTCTGCAATAGCGAGATACTATGGCATGTAAGGTGCACAGGACTAAAATTATCAAATTAAGCTCATGCCCATACCTTGATTGCAATGTGGAACAGGTGCCAATCCCCATTGTTCCATTTGAAGAGATTGCTGTGTGGATGGAAGTTCACCTACATAATTGATGGATATCACTGATCACATGAATAGAACCAAATAAATGCTCACCATTGCATATTTCTTCAAAAAGATCCCTCATCTCTGATCATTCAGGCATGCCAAAAGTCAAATGGTTTGTGCCATTGTCCTCATCTGCTGCCAAGTCAAAAGATTCAATGGGTACATTTGAAATGAGCAGGGGAGGCATTGGTTCCCTCATATCCTGCAATTGAGCAAGCAGGTTAGTTGGAGAATCAGGTTGAGGAGATTGGTCCCTCAGATTTGATGATTCACAGGTGATGGGCAGAGGAGATGGCTCCTGCACATTCTGCAAGTCTGCCAGAAAATTGACTTGCATAGTAATGTCTTGTGCAGGTGTTGAAGACCTGTCCATCCTGTTTAATTTCTCGTGCATGACTGGCAGTGCCAATGGTTCCTGTGCATTCAGCAATTGCTTGAGTAGATCCATGTTCATACCATCCACTGGGGGAGCAGTTGGTTCCCATTCATTCAGGAACCAATTCATCAAGTTGTCATGTGGATCTATTACTAGAAAATTAGTTTGTTCATTAGCTTGATCCACATGGCCAATATGTAGACCTGTCCCACTCAGCTCTCCACTCAATTGTCCTGCTCAACCATCCCACTTAACTATCCCTCTCTCTGATATCAAAGATGCCTCTCACAACCACCATGGTGTCATGAGCTACTGTACATGCCATACACTTGTATTCTAATGTGTCACACTAGGCTAAGCCCTCTATAGGCTGTACATGAGTTCCAAAAAAGGTTTCTGCTCTGACTGTTTGAGGGATTTGACAACTACTTCTGCTTCTGATTGCTGCTGGTTTGCTTGTGTAATCTCTTTGCATCAGGAGATGGAAAATCTGCATCTGGCCTTGCAGGGGCCTTTCTGACATGAGGTGACTTCCAGGTGCTCCCAGGGATGCCCTGTTTCACATTTGTGGATGCTGCATTGGCAGTCACAGAGCCATTATGGTTGGACTTGGATGAGTATTTGGCCCCAGGTCAACATCAATTCATGTCTGGCTCACTCGATTCTGACAGAGCCTGCTTAATATACAGCGCAAACTTGTTAGCCATAACAGCTGATTCAACATGACTGAACTTGCCTGGTGTGTGTGCTTCAGGGCAGATTTCAGCTTTCCACCTTGTTTTCTGCTCATTGACCCCTCCTCAGTTGGGTGGTCAGTGAAAGGAATGCTCTCCAATCCATCTTCATCTGCATATTCTGAGTGGTCCTGTAGTTCAGTTGTGTACGTGTTCCCTGAGTGCAGATCAGGGTTTGCTGCAAATACAAGTTACAGTGGGAAGCTCACTATTCAGGGATGTTTCCATTTTCTTTGAATTGGATAGGGTGGGCAAATAAGTGTCTTCATCAGCTTCATCATTGGAATCATGGCCATTGCTTTCCTGCCCATTATAGTCAGTTAGCACTTTATTTCATGGACAATGCACCAGGGTCTTTGCATGGGCTGGAGGTGCAGAGAGCCACTCACTATGGGAACCATCAGGTGGTGGTGGATTTGAGTGGGAATGAGAAGGGAATGGTGTCTTGGCATGGTTTTGCCTCCTGCCAGATACCTGAAGACCAGAATCACATTAGTACTGATCTGTCATGCATGAAAATCACACATGGTGCACCTTTTTAGCAGAGGGACCATCTGTTCCAACATTGCTTGCCTCAGCCTCACTGTGATCATCCAAACTGTCATCTGTGCTGTCATCTGTGCTGTCATCTGTGCTGTCATCTGTGCTGTCATCTGTGCTGTCATCTGTGCTATCATCTGTGCTGTCATCTGTGCTGTCATCTGTGCTATCATCCACACTATCATCTGCCATTCCCTCTTCCTGCACTTTACCCTTGCCCTTGACATTTTTCCTTCCAGGATTCTTTTTGCATTTTGGGGCAGGTGTCTTTTGGTATTTCTGCTGCCTCACAACCTGCAGGGGTGCCAAAGTTCTATCCACCAGTGGCTGCAGCTTGCCAGATCGATTGATCCATTTCTGAAATCCAAACACATCATTTGGATGGGATTCCTGTTGCTTGCACCAAAAGGACAGCAGCTGGGTAGCTGTTGTCATCCACATGTGACTTGGGTCATGGTCAATGGTAAATCCTTCAGGAAGATGGCAAGCTGCTATCATTTCTGCTTGATGATGACCAAAATTCTTGAACAGCACTGCTGATGAGGGATTTCTGCATGCTAATCCTGATAGCACTCATCAGAGATTGAGGACACTAAATACTCTGGCCACTCATGGTAGTAAGCAGTCACAAATCCACAAACCATTTTTTGTAGTTGGTCCTGGCTAAGGCCCATGATTTCTCCTATCCAAATCTCTCCATCAGCATTTTTCACCAATTTCACAGAGTCAACCTTGCTGGTCCTTGTTGCTTTGGCCACTGTCTTTTTCTGAGCATGTTCAGGACTTGACTCACCATCATGCTCAGGCAGTGTTCCTGGTTCCTCAAATGTTTCCCCAAGGTACTCTTGCCAGCTTCCTTCCAGTGTGTGGACATCATTGAAGGGGATTCCATCCACAATTTCATTATAGAAGTCCATACTGTCATTGCATGAGTCTTACCTAGGCCTAGAGGAGAATATGGTGGACTCACATGCATGCCTGTATAGTTCCCTCCTCATTTTTCCACCCAGCCATACACACTATGCACATTCTGCAATACCTCCACATCTCCATTGCAAAGTTTCAGACATACTTGTACCCATACTTGGCTGCATTCCTGGGAACCAGGATAAATTGAAGACTGGGAAGTTGACCTCATACAATCACACCTTGCTTTTGTCTCTGGCACAGGGCCTTCCCACCCATTCCACCTTTCCACTATATCTTCAGCTGCAGCCAATTGTTCCTCTGTCAGGTCATCCTGAATAAAAGCTGTCAATGCATTCTGATACTGTTGGATCTGCTTGCTTCTATGGGTATTGCCTTGTTCTACTTTCATTTTTGCAAGCTTCTCCTGTATTTGCTCTTGGTACAATTTGCAGACCACTGCCCACACAGAGTATTTGTAACTGGATCTAAGGGTAGTGTGGGGCTTCTTTGAATGGAGGGGCTTTTTCAACCAATCTTGTATTAGCTACAAGGGTGCTTTGAATTGTGAGCATCCAAATCAGAACTTTTAGAGCTTGCCTTGCACTTGGTCTGGACTTTGCTCCCTCTCAACTCCTTGTTCCTGTCCAATTGCTGCATCTCCTCCCATATAGATAGCAGAACTGCAGGCTTCTTCTTCTTCCCTGCTTGCCTCCATTCCTGGTGTCAGTGCCCAAGGATCTCCAACTCTACCACTTCAAACATTTCTTCCTCCCTTTCCCCCACATCTGATGGTTCTATGTCTTGCTCACCATCAGCATCATCTCTTTCTGTCTGATCCTAGGCATCTGATTCATACTGGGACTCCATGGAGTATGATGTGGTATGATGTATAATGGTATATAATAGATGGTTGGCTACTAAGTTTTTTCATGCACTTGTTTGGTCTCAATGCATTTCAGTACTAGTGCAGTCATGGCAAGGAATTCATTCAGACCTCCATGAAGTGACTGAAATATCCAATCAGGCTGATCTCTTTGACAGGATCCTGCCCAAAGGCAGATTAGCTCCTGGTTTGCATCCAGGCTGTCAGTTGGCTTGCCCAATCATATCCATACTTATATTGATACTAAACA